TGTGTGTCTGTGTTCTCACCTTCTCACTGGGGTGAGTGTCTGTGTTCTCACCCTCTCGTGTGTGTGTGTGTCTGTGTTCTCACCTTCTCACTGGGGTATGTGTCTGTGTTCTCACCCGCTTGTGTGTGTGTGTGTGTGTGTCTGTGTTCTCACCTTCTCACTGGGTTGTGTGTCTGTGTTCTCACCCTCTTGTGTGTGTGTCTGTGTGTCTATGTGTCTGTGTTCTCACCCGCTTGTGTGTGTGTATGTCCGTGTTCTCACCTTCTCACTGGGGTATGTGTCTGTGTTCTCACCCGCTCGTGTGTGTGTGTGTGTCTGTGTTCTCATCCTCTCACTCATGTGCCCTCCTTTTCCTGTCACCCACCCGGCCCTCTGCAGGCTCTTCATTGATGGTGACCGCATAGATGCCCCCGGTGTGAAGGAGCACCTGCTTCTTGACTTGGGCTTGGAAGCTGAATACAGAATCCAGGTGCTTCCCTACAAGTCCATCCTGAGTGAGCTCAAGGCCCTGTGTGCCGCCCTCTCCCCAAGGGAGATGGTATGGGTCAGTGACAAAGCCAGCTATGCCGTGAGCGAAGCTATCCCCAAGGTTGGTGGCCCCACTTTGGCCTGTCTACACCCTACTCCCTAACCGGTTCTGGCATTGTGCGGCATTGTCTTTGAATCAGAGGCCATTCAGGCAGCTCTCTGAGACTGTGTGATCTCTCTGGATGAGAGATCTCAGAGTGGGAGCTGTATTGAGAGTCAGAGGGCCCTTGAAGCTCACTTCGTCCCATGTTTGCCAGAGTAGGGCCTGAGTGATGATTTTAGGAGTACACATTAATACCTAGAAGTGTATGTGTTTTACCAGCATTTAAGCAATTATAGTAGAAAAAAATATAATCAGGATGAGTTCATGATATTATAAACATTATTTAAGGGAAAGTTGAGTTTAATAAACTAAGTTGAATTAAAGATGGTCTAAAGCAGGCATCCTCACACTATGGCCTGTGGGCCACATGCGGTCCGCCTAGGACATTTATCTGGCCCACTGGGTGTTTTTGCTGCCGCTGCCTGTCCTGCTTAGCAGCCGACTTGTCCTGAGGCCCACAGTCTGGCCCTCCAATGGTCTGAGGGACAGTGAACTGGCCCCCTATTTAAAAAGATTGAGGACCCCTGGTCTAAAGAAAAATACTAAGTAAATAGGGCATGTGGGAGAGGGCCGGGTAAGAGCTGTGTGGGTGGGAGATGCCTGAGGTTGGGAAGTGCTAGCTAAGACGACTTGAGGCTTGGGGAGTTGGGGTTGTATCAGAGGTCAGCTGAATAGTGTTAGCCTTGCTTTGTACTGAACCCCTGCTGGATGGTGCTAAGCAGCTGACACTTGTTGCCTCATTTTAGTCAGGACTGGAATCCAGGACTCTTTAGATGTGCCACTATCCTGCCCTGGGCCTCTGGCTGCCAAATGTCCTTTGGCAAGCTTGGCAATGTTCTCTTCTCCACTGAGCGGTGGGCCATCCTGGGAGGAGTCCATCCCCGCCCTCTAGATCTGGTTTGCCATCGTACTCCTGCCACTGTCACTGTGTGTGACGTCTAGCAAAGCACAGGGCTTGACTTCCTTGACCCAAGTGGGGTGCACTCTTGCCTTCCCTGTTTCATGAGGGGTATGTAAGAGAGAGTGAGAGAGAATAAAGAAAGTGATAGCAATTTGAGAGCCTCTGAGCAAGTCCATGTTTGCTGAATCCTACCCCTGCCCCCACCAAATTACACAACTGGACTCCAACTTGTTCTCAAACTGGGAAGGGTCTTCTGCAGCCCTTTAAGATCAGACCACTAGCAGTAGTTGAGCTGTGATCACTGAATGGGAGTGGGGAGGGAGCAGGAGACCTCCCTCATCAGGTTATGTGCTGTGTCTCTAGATGGGGGAGAAAGCCTCCTTTGTGTAGCAAGAGAAAGGGTTATTTCGGTCAAGCTTTGAGTGGTTAGTGAACTCTGACCACAACCGTAGATGTTGGAAAGCAATTTTTTGCTCATGGCTGGCAGCCAGCAGTCTCAAAGAGCTAAAGGTGGGTGGGTGGGGGGGAGGTAGAGCATGCAGGAGAGAGAACTTGTTTGATGTACTTACTCTTTTTAGATGAGCACAAGCTCAGGGTTATCGATCAAAAGGGGCTGGTCTCCGGGTTCTCAGGGGACAGCTGTGTGTGGGTCCTGAGTAGAAGCTTGTCAAATGATTTGTCTCAAGTGCGTTCTGCTGAGCAGAGGTGGTTGTCTTGGTCTTGGTGGGTGGGGCAGGCTTGATTTCCCATCCTGCTGCACTTTGCTTCTAGGACCATCGCTGCCGTATGCCTTACACCCCCATCTGCATCGCCAAAGCTGTGAAGAATTCAGCCGAGCTGGAAGGCATGAGGCGGGCTCACGTGAGTAGAGCAGCTGATACAGAAGGCAAAATGTGAGGTAGTCAGAAGGCCTGGCTCTCTCACCTCCTGCGTGGCCTTGAGCCTGGCACAAGGTCAGACTCTGAACCAAAGCCTCCTGGCTTCCAGAGTTAATGAGAATGAAATGAAACACTTGCTGGGTTAGATCTTTCAACAGTATAACACAAAAAGCAAAAGCGATATTTGATGAAGATAGTGTAGATCGGCGGTTCTCAACCTGTGGGGTGCGACCCACAGGAACTGTATTAAAGGGCCGCGGCATTAGGAAGGTTGAGAACCACTGGTATCCATAGTGGTGATGTGGTGATGGTGAAGCCTCACAGAAGGACCTGATTATGTTTCAAGGCAAAGGATGGGTGTAGAAAGATTTGGGACCCAGACATAGCTTTTGGCAATGGCCTGTGTTTCTTGGCCCCTGTAGTGCGGGAGATTATCTCTTGGGGGAGCTGTCCATGTTCTGAGGCGGGGCCCTTCCTGAAATACTGAATAGTGGAGGAGCCTATTCCCTGATAATGGGGATTGCTGCAGTGGAAAGCCCTGATTGATGCTGGTTTGTGGCCTTGAAGGGGCAGCCCTCTCAGTGTTCCATCAGGGCTAGGCTCTGAATCTGGCCGTCCAATTTTTCAGTGTTAACTTTAAAAAATATCTTTATTGTTTGTACAGATAAAAGATGCCGTTGCTCTCTGTGAACTCTTTAACTGGCTGGAGAAAGAGGTTGGTTCTTAGAAATTATTCAGAAATATCTACATTTGATTCTAACTGTGGCATCCTCCATACTCTGTTGACCATGAGGTCTAAGATCTTGATCTAATTTTAGTGCTCTATTTTAATAATTCATTTTGGAAATTTGGCGTATTTTAAATTTGGTATGTGTATATAATTCTTTAATTGTGGAAAATAGTAACAAGGGTGAAGAAACAAATTCCACAACAGAGTGGATCCCTTTTGGGTTAGGGAATCATAACTAAGTAGAATTTCATTATGAGGAAGAATGGCCCTTATAATATCATAGGCAGGCTGCTTGTATTAGGAGGAAGAGATCCTTGTATACATCTTGAACTTTAAACCATAAAACTTTTCATATTAAATTGACTCTTAGTCTTTAATTTCTTTTCTTTTCTTTTCTTTTTTTTTTTTTTTTTGCAGTTTTGGCTGGGGCTGGGCTCGAACCCGCCATCCCTGGAATATGGGGGCCGGCACCCTACTCCTTGAGCCACAGGCACTGCCCTAGTTTTTAATTTCTTGCCCTTCACTCCCTATAGTTGACAAGAGGGCAGTTTCTTTATGCTATTATTAAACAATACTGTGTTTCTTTTAAGAATTATATAAACAGCTCTTTAATTGGAAAAAGAAAATTATTTTATTCCCACCAGTGTAATTATTTTTCCCCAAGTTTCCTTCTGGCCATTTTTCACCTGTATACATCATTTTTAAAATATAAGTAATTTCTGCACGTCTCTCAGTGTACCAGTATAATTTTGTGTTTTGTTTATCTTACTCACTTAGAATCATAAGCACATCACTGCTACGTGCTTTGGGGTCTTTAAAAGGATCCAAATGGAAGCTGCATCTAGGATTACTTACCCATTCTTCCCATTTTCACACGTTTAGGTTGTTTTTAATGTTTTGCAATAAATATTATCAATAATCCTGCAATAATGCCTCTGCATTTATGATGATTTTCTTAGGCTGATTTCCTGGGAGGGGACACCTTTGAATTTTTAAACTTAGATGCATCATTTTGGGAAGTTTTAGGATAAACTACCAAGGCAAAATAGTTAAGTGAAAAAGCAAATGAATAAAAACCCTTCTAGTTAAATAGCTTTAGACGTTCTCCCCTTGTTGAAGATGAGACCTAAGCTGTGTCCTGTTGATTGGACATTTGGGATATGGAAGTTGAGGTGCAAGGCAGCTTTTCATGTGTCCCCTCTAACTTGTAGGGGCACACTTGGATTCCTTTCTCCAGAGGAGTCATAAGCAATTTTCTCATAGGTTCCCAAAGGTGGCGTGACGGAGATCTCCGCTGCTGACAAGGCTGAGGAGTTTCGCAGGTAAGGATCCCTTTGAGGGACCTTGAACCTCTGCTGATTTCCTTGCAAGTCAGCTGAGGCTGGAGGGCTGCTGTTTCTTGGCACAGTGGAAGCCTTCAAGCTGGTCTGTTCTGTGTCTTTCTGTTGTAGGCAGCAGGCGGACTTTGTGGACTTGAGCTTCCCAACGATTTCCAGTACGGGACCCAACGGCGCCATCATTCACTACGCGTAAGGCACGCAGAGGAGCATGCTGCCTGGCTTTGCTGTTGCCTCTGCGCGGAAGCCCAAGCGGGGCAGAGACATTATTTTACCAGAGGCACCTGTGTCCACCTCTGTGTGTCATGGAGACTGGAAAATGAAGGGAAATAAGACCTCTGAGGTCTTATTTTTTTCTCATTTTCTCTCAGTCCACCAACCTCCTCCTTTCAGATGCCCCTCTCAGACTCTGGGCAGCCCCAGCACCCTCCACAGTGTAGTCAGATGGTGTCCCTCTCCTCTGAGACTCCGGGCAGCCCCGGCACCCTCCACGGTGTAGTCAGATGGTGTCCCTCTCCTCCGAGACTCCGGGCAGCCCCGGCACCCTCCACGGTGTAGTCAGATGGTGTCCCTCTCCTCCGAGACTCCGGGCAGCCCCGGCACCCTCCACGGTGTAGTCAGATGGTGTCCCTCTCCTCCGAGACTCCGGGCAGCCCCGGCACCCTCCACAGTGTAGTCAGATGGTGTCCCTCTCCTCTCAGGGAGGAGGGACACCTCTCCTATGGGCTTCATCACCTCTGTACCAAAAAAACTGGTCACTAGGTTGCAGGGCAACTAGTCTTGAGTAGACGGACAATCATACCCTCCCTCTTCTCCCCTTGGGCTTAAAGCCCGAAGCCTGGCATCCTGGTCTGTGGGAATTTTTACCATATGATCTGTGAGAAGCCCTAGACCCACAGAGCTGAGCCTCCCTGAACTGCGAACTGAGGTTGGGGTGTGGCATGTTCCGGACTGACAGCTGCCTATGCAGGTGATGGGAAATGTAATTCAGCCTGACCATTGGGCTTCAGCTTCACCTCTGCCCAGCTCAAGCTGTTTTGCTTTGCACTGGGCACTAGGCATTTAGAATCTTATGCTTTCCCACCTGGGAGATGCACAGTCAGGGAAAGAATACTTGGTCTGTCTCTCTGTGCTCCATGAGGGCACAGATCCCTCCCAGCCCCCTTTTAATAATTGCTTTTCGAGGTTTTAGTCTTAGGGCAGATTTTGAAGCTGTGTGTGGGAGACAGGCACAGATGTGACAGTACCCTCACATTAATACTTCTGTTCCAACATAAAAATAACAAAAGGACTTTACTTTTTGTCTTATGTTTAACTCTGATGATGAATTTCCTGGCTGGATATTATCTTGCAATTTTGCATATAATTAAAGTATTACGCAGTTTGATTTCACGGGGAGAGAAGTTTGCTCCTCCTTTGGCATTTCTTCATAGTGGACTGTTGGAAGCTGTGTGGAGACGGCACTGGAGGCTGAACCCGGGTCTGGTGGTGCTTTAGTTCAGCTCCTGTGTCAACTGGTGCCTTCACTGCTGAAGAGGGCTAGGACCTGGGGAGGAAGGGCAGCCTCCCTTGAGCTGCTGGGCAGAGACTTGGAATGTTTTCATCCCTTCAGGCATTTCCCAGTGTAGTATCTAGAAAATGGCATGGGGAAGGTGGATCCCTTCTTGAAAATAACTCATGTGCTTTTGAAAAAAGTGCTCCAGCACAGAAGTGTCATGATCCACTCCTTCATCCCTAACAAACACCTTTAGTTTTTTCTCCCAGATTAAGAAATTCACCCCCTCCCTGTCTGGAGAACTGGGGTTGGTCCCTGATAAAGTGCAGTCTGGAGGCTGAGACAGGGCCCAGGGCTCCCTGAGACAGCCTGTGGCCGTTCCAGGCTGCTCCCAGGACCGTAGCCTGGTCCTCTTGATTCTCATTTTTGTGGCTTTTACAGTTATATCTCACATACTTGTTTCATTCCAGACACAAACACAGGTAGATGTAAAGACATGTGTTGACTGGGTTTTTGAATAGAAGTTTTTAATATTAGTTGAAATAATTCATTATGTAGCTTTTTACTTCGATGTAATTTCAGGCTTACATTAGTTGCAAGGGCAGTACAAGAAACTCTTTAGGCCCTCCTCCCAGATTCACCAAGTGTTTACATTTGTGGAATAATTAATTTTTTTCTTAACTTTGTTAGGCCAGTCCCTGAGACGAATAGGACCTTGTCCCTGGACGAGGTGTACCTCATTGACTCGGGTGCTCAATACAAGTAAGTGACCTGGAGCTGCCGTCGGTCTTGACTGTGGGTTTGAGATCGCTGAGTGGGTGGACAGGCAGAGCTCCAGCTCAAAGTGCTCAGCTGCTCATCTCATTCTGCACTGGCCACTCATGTTCTTGCGTCTCGTCCGTTAATTCACCCCTCGTTGAAATAGCCCAGTTGTGACTCTGTTTCCACAAAAGAGTGTTTGATAGAAATGTTTAGTCCTTGGCTGGAAGTTGTTTAAATACTAAATAAATAACTGAAATAAAGCAGACTTTTGGAACCATTGGAAAGTTTTTTGCCTTAGTCCATAGATTGTCTGCTGGCTCCCTGTACTCAGGGCTTTATGATGTAAATGATTAATTTTGAATGAATGAGAAATGAGGGGTGCCCCTAAATTTCTAGATTTCCTTGTCTTGCCACTTTCTTGGTAGTTGGGACTGTGCCAAGGGAGGACCTAATTATTGAACGAGCTTAGCCAATAACATGGTAACTACACCTAGCCGTAGGACACAGGGATAGAAATGGTATCAGCCTAGAGCTAAGGGCACAGGCCTCATGTGTTCATGGTATAAACTTTTGTTCACTTCTAAATTTTGGCAGGATTCTGAGTTATCCTTTCTGTGTCAGGGATGTGGGCTAGAGTGTGTTAAGAGATTATCTATGAATATTTTTAGGGTTTCTGTTTAGGAAACCCCTTGCTCTTTTAACAAGAGGAGTTGGATTTTGGCCCTCTTTTGTTAGAAAGCCTCATGAGGCTCCTATTTACTCTGGTTTCTTCCCTCTTGTTCAGAACCCCAGTGTCTCTCATGAGAGAGCCCTCACGCCACAGACCGAGAGTGTATGTGTCAGGGGCTAAGTTGACATCACTGAGCTATCCTTGTAGTCACACTTGTCTCATTTTTTATAACAACTTGATTAAGATTCATGTGCAACACAATTTAACCACTTACAGTATGTATTTTCTTTTAAATTCACAGTTGTGCAAACATCACCACAATCAATTTTAGAACATTTTCATTACCCCCCAAAGAAGCTTCATACCCACTTTTCCTCTACCTAGAGAACCATTGCTCCATTTCTATCTCCATGGATTTGCCTATTTTGGACATTGCATATAAATGGCATTATATAATGCATGGCCTGTGTCTGGCTTCTGGCACTAGCATAATGTCCTCAAGGTTCATCCAGGTTGTAGTGTGTAGCAGAACTTCATTCCTTTCTGTTGCCAAAGAATATTCCATTGTATGACAAATATCCCATTTTGTTTATTCATCCGTCAGTTGGTAGATATTTGGGTTGGTTCTACCTTTTGGCTGGTATGAAAATGCTGCTTTGAAAATTTATGTGGTTTTTGTTTTAGTTCCTTTGGGTCCATACCTAAGATGGAATTGCTGTTTCATATGGCGACTACGCACTTAAGCTTCTATGGAACTGCAAACTGTTTTCCAAAGTAGTCACACTATTCTAATGCCCACCAGCAGTCTTTGAGGGTTCTAATTTTTCCACATCCTCACCTGTCTCCTATTTGACTAAAAGCTTATTTCAACGGAAAACTAATTTGTCCTTTCTTTTGGAAAGGGATGGAACTACAGATGTGACCCGGACCATGCATTTTGGGACCCCTACAGCCTATGAGAAGGTAAAGTGGAGGCAGAAAATACAACCGGCCCTTTGCTTTCTTAAGAAGATCTTTGCTTTTGTGAAAAAGGATTATATACATAAGTAAAAATTACATATGGGATAGTAAACTATCCTACATATGGGATAGATACTGTGAAGTCAGGGTTATCTGCTTTATGAAGTCCATTTAATTAATTATTAGAAGATAAGACATTTGGGGAAATTTTAAAAGCATTCTGTTAAGGTCAGGGCAATTCAGATTCAAGTTTAAATAGTCTGGCCTTTTGACTCAGGAAATGTCTGGGGTTGGCGGGTAGGGAAATACATGCTTTACAAGCAGTGTCTAGATGTAGATCTGAAGGCTACCTCCTCTTGTTTCAAGTTCAGCATTCTTATTTAAAGGCTCAACTGTCTAGGACAGGGGTCCTCAAACTTTTTAAACAGGGTGCCAGTTCACTGTTCCTCAGACTGTTGGAGAGCCAGACTGAGTGTTGCAGGACGAGTCGGCTGCTAAGCAGGATAGGCAACAGCGGCAAAAACACCCGGTTGGCCGGATAAATGTCCTAGGTGGGCCACATGTGGCCCGTAGGCCATAGTTTGAGGATGCCTGGTCTAGGAACTTTCTGATGTGATTGGCATGGAAAGGGGGGACAAAGCTATGTGTGCTTAGGGGTCTGGAGACTTGGCTTCTGAACTTCTCCACTGTTTGCCAGCTCCATGAGCTTGAATAAAAGCACTTGCCATCCATGAAAATGGGGATAAAAGTACCCACCTCCCAGGCTGATTGTGAAGATCGTGAATTTCTATGGGCCCAGTGAGTTCTTGGGTCACTCAGCAAACGATGACTGAGTCTCTCAGTGAACCTCCTTGTCTAAGGAGCTCTCTCAGGAAAATTATCCCAGGGAAAGGGTTTTATGCAATATAGTGGGATGCGTTTCCTGGTCTCAGTCCCTTGCTCTGTCCATTTGCATGCACCAGTGTACCTCAGAAGCATTTGGACTTGGGTCCAGGATTCCATCGGTGTGACTCTTTCTGTGTTGTAGAAAGGGCTCCAGACCAGGTTAAGGAGTGTGGCATTTTAGTCGGACTGTACCTTAGTAGCAAGCCACTAACTTTCGGAGCAGCACTTCCCTTATTGGGACAGTAGGGATAACCGCCAAGGATAGTATGGTGGTAAGGAGCACAGGTGATGAAGCAAGACAGCCTGCCTCCGAGGCCAGACCCCGCCACTTAGGGACTGTGTGATCTGGGCATGCTCCTGAATTTGTGGCAGTGCCACCATTTTGAAGTGTGGGACTAAATGTGCAGTGCTTAGTGGAGAGCCTGGCACAGAGGACCAGCTCGGCCAGTGCTAGTCAGGGTCATTACTCTTCCAGTCTTTGTAAGGCTCACATGACATAGAGTTTGTCACAATGTTCATTATAAGATAAAATCCCGTGGGAGCATCTCTCTTAACTGTGCTCTTGTAGTGAATATAATTTTAAGATTTTCTAAAAAGTTGGTCCCAGGGCAAGGCTTTTAATTCAGTAGATTTTTTTTCTTTTTATTCTGATTTTCTTTGTGGTATTGCTAAAAACCTTAACAGGCAAAGTTTTCTGAACTGTCAGAAAACTAGAGGATTGAGACATCTGTCCCCATTCTGCAACGTGCCCCCTGGGTTTTCTTTGGCAGGAATGTTTCACGTATGTCCTCAAGGGCCACATAGCTGTGAGTGCAGCTGTTTTCCCGACTGGAACCAAAGGTAGGTGGTTCTTCTGTCATATGGTAGGCTCCTTTTCATGTTCAAGAACCAAACATGTCGAAGTTTGAGTGGAAGAACATACTCTTCCTCTTGCCCTGTCAGCCCCATCCCACCCCAGGCCTGGCCGGTCAGGTAGGGGTGCTGCGTGGAGGGAGTCTCCCGATCCACTGATGAACCCAGAGGCCCTCCAGGGGGGTGAGGCTCAGGAAGGGCCCAGTGTCAGCTGTGAGCTTCTCTCCTGACCACTTACAGTATTAGATAGCACTGCAGGAGAGGACAAGCTGGGCCGAAGGCCCCAGGGCCTGAGCAGATTGGTGGGGCTTCCTGTCTGCCGTCTAGTGCTGGGCCAGTGACTCTTTTCAGGATTCTTGGGATTTATTTTACTGGGATCCTGAACTTTAGATATATGTACTTATTTGCTTGGGGACTGGTGGGTGGGACATTGGACTGGGAGTTGACAAGACCTGAACCTAGAATCTGGTTAGATCTGGTATACGTTCATTCCCTGAGCCTCAGTTTCCTCATCTCTCATCCGGCCTGCCTGCCTGCAGTCTGGTTAGAATCTTATCTTTGTAATTCTTTTTTTGTTTTTGAACAGAGTCTCACTCTGTCATCCAGGCTAGAGTGCTGTGGCATCAGCCTGGCTTATATCAACCTTGAACTCCTGGGCTCAAGTGATCCTCGTGCCTAAGTCTCCTGAGTAGCTGGGACTACAGGTGCCTACTACAATGCCTGTCTAATTTTTATATATATATATATATTTTAAGAGTCTCACTATGTCAGCTTTGGTAGAGTGCTGTAGTGTCACAGCTCACAACAACCTCAAACTCTTGGGTTTAAGTGATTTTCTTGCCTCGGCCTCCCAAGTAGTTGGGACTACAGGTGCCTACTACAATGCCTGTCTAATTTTTATATATATATATTTTTTAAGAGTCTCACTATGTCAGCCTTGGTAGAGTGCTGTAGTTTCATAGTTCACAGCAACCTTAAACTCTTGGGTTTTAGTGATTTTCTTGCCTCGGCCTCCCAAGTAGTTGGGACTACAGGTGCCTGCCACAATGTCTGGCTATTTTTTTTTTTTTAATAGTTGTTGTTGTTTAGCAGGTCTGGGCTGGATTTAAACCCACCAGCTCCAGTGCATGTGGCCAGTGCCCTAACTAATGAACCACTGGCACCAAGCCTAATTTTTCTAGTTTTGGTAGAGATGGGATCTCACTCTTGGTCAGGCTGATCTTGAACTCATAAGCTCAGGGGATCCTTTCACCTCTGCGTCCCAGAGTGCTAGGTTTACAGGCATGAGGCACTGCATCTACCTCCTTTTTTTTTTTTTTTAATAGAAAAGATTTATTTACCATGTGCATGGAGAAAACAACCACAGAGTGATAACCCCTCATCTTTATAATTCTGAAATCTTAGGGTCCCAGATCTGGGAAGGGAGTGTCCATGCCATGCAATGTGGCCTTTATCTGCTGTAGGTGTCCACCACTTACCAGCAGCCTAGATTAGCCTCCTCAATAGACTGGCCCCTCAATAGACTGAACCCTGAGTAGAGCCCCTTAGTAGACTGAACCCTCAGTAGGCAGACCCCTCAGTAGACTGGCTCCTCAGTAGACTGGCCCCTCAGTAGACTGCCCCTCAGTAGACTGGCCCCTCAATAGAATGGCCCCTCAGTAGACTGGCCCCTCAATAGAATGGCCCCTCAGTAGACTGACCCCTCAGTAGACTGGCCCCTCAGTAGACCGGCCCCTCAGTAGACTGGCCCCTCAATAGAATGGCCTCTCAGTAGACTGACCCCTGAGTAGATTGACCCCTCAGTAGACTGGCTCCTCAGTAGACTGGCCCTTCGGTAGACTGACCCCTCAGTAGAATGGCTCCTCAGTAGACTGGCTTCTCAGTAGACTGGCTCCTTAGTAGACTGGCCCTTCAGTAGACTGGCCCCTCAGTAGACTGGCCCCTCACTAGA